TCGTTGCAAGATATTTCAGCTTTCCGATGCATTCCGCTCAGCTCACCCTAAAGAACGAGAATACACGTTTTACTCGCACTCGTAGAAGGCGAGCTCCCGCATAGACCGTGCTCTCATATCCCTATCCCTCCTCCCTCGTCTAGAGTTAGCCAAACACGTCTCTCTGCTTGAAAAAGTATCAGACCATGGCTTTGGGATTAAAGTCGGTCTCAAGACAGACGCCAGAGTACACACTAGACTGGGACCGTGGAGAATGCAAGCGGCGCTGCTGAACAGACCTGGGGTGAGGAAAATCACTGAAGAAGTGACGCAAAACTTTGAGGTGACAGACGGTCACAGTTATGAGTTACTGATCCCAAGACTAAGTGCTGGACTGAAATCGTACATGACAGAGGAGTGGAAGAGAGTTCGGGCTACTCCCCTTCACCTCACCGTGTCTCTGTTGGCGTTGAGGCAGGAGGTCATGGCTCACCCGCGGTGCACCAGACGGAGAGAGTTACTGGGGGTCAGAGAGACGCAAGTCAAGGACTACCACGCATCACGGAGGGACAGGCTTCATCTCATGGCTGGATTGAAGGTGGATTTCGTCGGAGAAGTCTCGTCGAAAACGCTCTTATCGACGGTTAAGGCGCGGAAAGGTCGTACGCAGATCACGGAACTCCAGGCTGATGGCAGGATGGTATCAGACTTGAAGCAGATCCTGGAAGCAGCGTCCGGATTCTTCCATAAGCTCTACGGGAAGGATCGGAGGGTGGATTTCTATAACTGGTTGCCGAAGCGGAGGCTCTGCGAAGCGGAAGCGGGGGGGTTGGTAGCAGACTGGTCAGAAGAAGAAGCGAAGGCGGCTTTCAAGTCGCTAGCGAGGAACAAATCACCGGGTGCGGATGGCTTACCAAAAGAGCTCTTTGGAGAACATTGGGATGTGCTCGACAGCAACTTCATGGCGTTGGTTAAAGACTTCACCGCAACTGCTGAGCTCCCGGATGAAGTGAAGGAAGCGGTCACCATTCTCCTGCATAAGAAGGGAGACAGGAGTCAGCTCAACAACTACAGGCCCATCAAGTTGTTGAATTTCTCCTATAAAATTCTGGCGAAGGTGCTGGCGGACAGAATTAAAAAAGTTCTTCACGTGGTGATCTCCCCGGAGCAGTACGGCTTCATTCCTAGGCGAAGGCTTGCCGATGCCGTGGCGCTGGTAGCGGACATTATTGACGCGGCAAAGAACAGGAATAAGGACTTGTATTTGCTTCTAATGGACTTTCAGAAAGCTTTTGATTCGGTGTCACGAAGCTTTCACTTCAACATTCTCCGCGATATGGGGTTTCCGCCCCGTTTTGTGGCTTGGGTGGAGGGGCTGCACACACATACCACAACAAAGCTGTTAGTTAACGGTTGGATCGGGCAAGGCACTGATGTGGTCTCCGGAGTGAGACAGGGCTGCCCGCTAGCCCCATATCTGTTCCTGTGTGCGGTGGACCGTTGGCACAAGAGGTTGAAAGGAGGCAGCTCGGGTTGAGCTTGGAGGGCCACCGGTTGTCCTACTTGGGTTACGCCGATAACGTCACGCTCATACTGCAAGGGGAGGAACAGATAACACAGGCGGAGATGATTCTGGAGGAGTTTGAGAAAAAGTCAGGCCTTGCGACGAACAAAGGGAAATCGGACATCTTACCACTGGGGGCAAATTTGGACAAAGAGCCGTCGGGGAGTTTCAAGTGGGCGGAGCCAGATGAGGCATAGAGACTGCCCGGCGTGTGGGTGACCCCGAGTAGTAGCGGCCTACCAACGTGGGAGAAGGCACTTGGGGAAATAGCAAAAAGGCTGACGAAGTGGAAGTAGAAGTTTCTCACCACCAAGGCAAGAGCCGCGGTTGCCAACTATTTCATCCACCCGGTCATGGCCTTTCAAGCGCAAGTCTACCCCCCACCGGCGGAGGTCTGGAAGGAGTTGGAGAAGCTGATTCACAATTTTGTTTCGGGGAATAAGGCGATGGCGGAGAAGGTTTTCACGCTTTGGAACAAAGACCTACGATACACAAAACGTCGGGATGGTGGTCTGGGAGTGCAAGACCCTACCGTAATACTGACCTACTTATCGGCCAGGAGGGTGGGTCCACTGCTCACGGAAGTGAACGCACTGAAGCGGGATTTGATGTTGAGCGCCGCAGTTCTTCTGTTGGGCATGGGCTCCTTTGTTGCGCATGACAAGCTGCTGAAAAATTGGGACCGCCGAAGCCAAGGCTGGAAGCAGACATAGGAGAGTTTCATGAAATCCCCGTTCTGCTCTCTGCCGAAGCTGACCACCCGGGAAGCTGTGGCGCGGGCAAGGCTGGTTTTCAATAAAAGGATATTGGTGGGTGTGACCGCACCGGTCGGCGGACAACAGCCTGCGGAGAAACTATGGGAGGTAACGCTGAGTGACCTGGTCGTCAGGGAGCAAGGGCTACCGCCGGCGCTAAAAACCATGGAAACTCTGGCGTTGGAGTTAGGGGGTAAGGGGCCAGCAAAGTTGGAAAGAACTCCTGCTTGACCCTGGGGGGAGCTCGGCTGACTCGGTTCCGCCAGAGGGAAGGCTGCTGCAGCTGCCGATCTTCGAGAACGGGCAGGTGGTGTCTCAGCGGCAGATGAGGAAACTTGTGAAGGATGGGCGCGGGGAATCACAGCAGAGATTGAAATGGGCGGATAGATGGAAGGGCAGGATTTGTTGGGAGAAGGTGACAAGTGTCACGGAGTCCCTTGTCGTTCCTAACCGCCCAAGGGACTTGCTGACGAGGATTTATAATCTGAACTTACAAGTGGGCGAACGGCTGGCCTTTCTCAGCAGCAAGCCTGTCTGCCCGTACTGCGCAGCAGAGGAGACGGTGGAACATTGCATTTTCAAGTGTCCACGTATTCAAACTGTGGTAACGGCCTTGAAGCGCGCCATCCGCATCCTAAACCTCTCGCGCATAACGTCCTCACTGGGGGACCTGCTGTTCCGCAAGGCAGGCACCAAATCTGCCTTCTCGAAAGCCACGCTCATTGCCATCTCCCTTCATCAAATCTGGGTCGAGAGGTGTGACGCTGTTTTCCGGAAAAAAATGGTTTTGTGCGCGCCGAGTGCTGAGGAAGATCATCATGGCTTTCAGACAGCACACGAGGGTCTACTCGAAATCTCGCCTTCACACGTGGTAGAAAAGGAGGAAGGCTGGACAAGGGGGGTCCTTTCATTCGTCGGTCTTGGAGGAACAGAAAGTACTGAGTCGGATTCGTGTTGCTGGAGATAAGAAGTGGACATGGACCAAGCAATTTGAGTCCATCTGGTCCAATCCTCGCACTGTGTTCTGTTGGAAACAATTGACTTAAGCGCCTCTGTCGTGTCGAAACACTAAGTCATAAGCGAAGCAGAACATATCGAAGCATCGGCGAGTCAACCCTCGGAGGTTGAGCAACTGGTGGAGGTTACGCGAAAGTCAAAGGTCAGCGACCTTTGACTTGACAAATACAGCGCGACAGCAAGGACAAACAACTGACTCGTTATTGAGCAGCTGCCCGAGTCGTCGCTGTATCGAACCGCAACAGCAACAGCAAAACAGTTATTAGTTATAACTGTTCATATTCCCTTGTACTCTTATAAAAGCTTGTATCCCTTTGTTTTAGTCAATCTACTTTGCCCTCACATACTAGCGCAAGGTGGTTCAAACACTTCACTAAAAGCTTCCGCTATTACATCATCCCTATACAGAGTTTAGTCATGTAAAGATCCTAAGGGCTTTCTCAGCCCAACATGTTCAACCCTCCGTAGATTTTAAGCTGAGGAGGACAGGCCGTCCCCTCAAGCCCGGTTACGACCGCTTATTGTCTGTCTACACTTGCCGTAACGGTGTATGCATTCAATATCATATATATAAATAAAGTTGTTATGCTCCATATATTACTGATTTCAGAATATATCAGATTTTTAATATTGGTTATTTTCTACAAAAATGAGAAATATAGTAAAGGTACTGCAACGGCTGTTGGCACAACCGAACGTGCACGTCGTTCAACATTGAAGAATCAAAACGATTAGTATTTTAAAGCCTGAGGTCAGCATGGTTTTAGGGGAAAATACTAAATGGCTTTAACGGTTTTGGCGAAAGACAAAAAACCGATCGAGAACGAAATCAGCTAAACGAGGAGAACTAATATTCGACACTCAGCTGTGCGACATCTGTCTCCAAGAATTTAGGATGAGAAGCCACGTGCAGCTGACAAATGAAATCTGGTGGGTGAAATTGTGCAAGTAAGGGCGCGTGTCTTTTGGTGTAGAAGTTCGAAAAAAAGGTCGAACTTTTGCTGGTAACCAGCTTCGCCAATTTCGTCTATAGCTATTGACGACGAACGTGTGTCCAAGCTCAAAGTTGCTAAAACAGAAGGACATTGAACTAGGGTCGACCTCGCATTCGACTATCCGCGAGCACGTTTCTCCAATCGTGTGTTCTTCTGCCCACGCACGAATAAGCTGCGAGATTCGCGATGGTTACGAGCCACGTCGCGCCAGGTTACCAGAGTTGAAAGTGCTAACGAACTTCACTGTATAGACAAGGTAACCTACGAAACTTGGCGCGACTCGGATTTTACTGTACAAATTCGACCTTTGAAAGTCGAGCATTTCTTGTGCCATGTGCTTCACGTCAAAGTGAACACGCGACTCGACAATGAAATGACGAGATAGTCGACTACAGGTCGACCTGTGTTCAATTGCAAAAATTCGACTAAAAAACATGAACTTTGGCCTAAATTTCAAAAGACACGCGCCCTAACAATTTCGAAAGAGGTATCCCTGGTGATGCAGGGCGACAACGGTAGAGCTCGGAGTGAGAAGCCCGTAGCTGGTCACACCAAATGCGTAATTCATCCCCGCTAGCTTTTCTTATGTTTGATAGAGCAATAATCGACGATAAGTAAACGCTACAGGGAATCGTCCCGAGAGCGCATCGTTGTAGAAAAAACGAAAGGTTTACGGAGCTTCACAAGCGCATGTACAAACTAGTCATTGTGGGAGCGCACCTCTCAGTGCGTCAGATAGTCGCGCCTCCCCTCACTTTATCGAGCTCCTCCCCTCGTCGCGCCTCCCCTCCCATGCCACCGTCGTTTCGTGGGGCATCTCCTCGTGCCTCGCTTCCCGTCGTGGCGCCGCGCCTCGCCGCGCTTCCTGTCCCATCGTGGCGCCTCCCCTCCCCTCGTCGCGCCTCCGCTCCTTACATCGCCTCCCCCCGTCGCGTAGTAGCGCTCCCATCCGATAATCGCTCTCCCATCCGCCCGTAGCTCTCCTTTCCGCCCGTCAGCGTGCCCAAGTCGCGAGCTTTTCCGTCCGCCCGTCGCTCGCCAATCTGCACGTAGCTCTCCCTTCCGCCCATCGCTCTCCTTTCCGCCCATCGCTCTCCCTTCCGCCCGTCGCCCTCCCTTCCTCCCGTCGTTCTCCCTTCCACCGTCGCCCTTCTTTCCCGTCGTCGTCCTCCCTTCCGCCCGTAACCCTCCCTTCTTCCCATCGCCCTCCCTTCTTCTCATCGCCCTCCTTGCCGCTCGTCTCCTCGCTTTCCCCGTCAACCTGTCTCCTTGTCCGCCGTCGCAATCTCCAGGGTTCCCCTCTCTCCTCGTCGCACTCGCGTTCCCCGTCTCCTCGCTTTCCCCGTCTCCTCGTTTTCCCTGTCGCCATCCAATGCTCGTCGCCCTCGCCCGTCTCCCTTCCCATCTCGCACACTTGTCACCCTCCCATCTCTCCCCCCACTCACTCCCTTCCACCCAACAATCCCCTTCGATCCCCCCACTTATACCCCCTCCTGCACTGCTTCCCTCTCTCCCTATTCCCACCATTCTCTGCCCAGCTCCCCACCATCCTCCGCCCTGCTCTCTCCCCGGCATCTGCCCCCGTTCTCCCCCATCAGACTTCCCTGTGTAAACGCGCCCCCCCTGGCCTGCTTCCCCCTATCCTCTGACAAGTCCCCCCTCTCTCTGTCCCCCTTCTCTCTGTCCCCCTTCTCCCACTCCCTTGTCTCCCACTCCCCCTTCTCCCAGTCCCCCTTCTCCCTGTCCCCGTTCCCCCTGTCCCCCTTCTCACTGTCCCCCCCGTCTCTTTGTCCCCCGTCTCCCAGTCCCCCTTCTCTCTGTCCCCCTTCTCCCACTCCCCCGTCTCCCTGTCCCCCTTCTCCCTGTCCCCCTTCTCCCTGTCCCCCTTCTCCCAGTCCCCCTTCTCCCACTCCCCGTCTCCCACTCCCCCTTCTCCCTGTCACCCTTCTCTCTGTCCCCCTTCTCCCACTCCCCCTTCTCCCACTCCCCCTTCTCCCTGTCCCCCTTCTCTCTGTCCCCCTTCTCCCACTCCCCCTTCTCCCACTCCCCCTTCTCCCACTCCCCCTTCTCCCACTCCCCCTTCTCCCTGTCCCCCGTCTCTTTGTCCCCCGTCTCCCACTCCCCCTTCTCCCTGTCCCCCTTCTCTCTGTCCCCCTTCTCCCACTCCCCCTTCTCCCACTCCCCCTTCTCCCAGTCCCCCTTCTCCCTGTCCCCCGCCTCTTTGTCCCCCGTCTCCCAGCCCCCCTTCTCTCTGTCCCCCTTCTCCCACTCCCCCGTCTCCCACTCCCCCTTCTCCTTGTCCCCCTTCTCCCAGCCCCCCTTCTCCCTGTCCCCCTTCTCTTTGTCCCCCGTCTCCCAGTCCCCCTTCCCTCTGTCCCCCTTCTCCCAGTCCCCTGTCTCCCACTCCCCCATCTCCCAGTCCCCCTTCTCCTTGTCCCCCTTCTCTTTGTTCCCCATCTCCCAGTCCCCCTTCTCTCTGTCCCCCTTCTCCCACTTCCCCTTCTCCCACTCCTCCTCCCACTTCCCCTTCTCCCACTCCCCCTTCTCCCTGTCTTCCTGCTCCCTGTCCCCCTTCTCCCTTTCCTCTTTCTCCCTGTCCCCTTCTCCCTGTCCCCTTTCTCCCTGTCCCTAATTCCAGCCCCCGTCCTACCTACACGTGCACCATATACCACCAACCTGCACCACCCCTTTCCATCCTGCCAGTTAGTCTCCCACAGTTGGGACCAGGGCTGTCGATTCAAGGGCATTTGCCCTTAATGCCCTGAACATTCCGGGCGAACTCCCAGCCAGCTTCGGCATTTTTAAGGGCTGGTTTCGAGGGAAGCCCGTTTTTCTTACGGGCTGATTTTGAGAAATAGGGGTCTCAATCCGGATCCGTTAAGGGCTGGTTCGGGGCCTTTCCCTGATTTCCCGGATCAGGAGTGAAGTAGCCCTGCGAGATGCCTAAGTGCCACTCTTCTCCTCCCGTTCTCATCCTCCCTGAATCTCCCATAAGCTATCTACTTAGACAAGAAAGGACTTTCTTGTGTTGATGTTATTGCTGTAGTTGCAAAATATTTTCCAGTCAATTCGTCTCCTCACAGTTCCAAGTACTCACACTGGACTCGCGACACTGACACCCAACGTGGTGAAAAGGAAACTTTCCCCATCAGTTCACACTAGTAGTACTACATGAAAAACGACCACCTCGGAAGTGCTTTGCGTTTGTACAAACGAGTTTAAACGACTTCTTTGCTGACGATGTTTTGCCCTACGACCCCCCTCCTCCCCTCCCCACCCCACTTCCCCCCTTGCTGTAGGTGCAGATGAGTCATTAGCATACTCCTTCCCGCTGCTAAGTAATAGGTTGACATCCGCCTTTGTTCCATCCATTAGAGCTCACGTACATTTTTGTAGGAAGCCCGGATTTCAAGTATTGAATTTTACCTGCGCCCGTGATCGTTAAAGGCTAAAAAACGGTCACCTTCGTGAAAATCAGGGCCAAACTTCGAGCAGCTCAGGACTCGAAGTGTTGGTCCCAGGGACTTCGACAGGCCTGGTTGGGACACATTGCATGAGTGTTTTTTTTTTACAACCATGGCGAAAACACTTCTCATTGTTGTATGCATGTAAACTTCTACCTCTTAGGGTACATTCCGCTGTGGACACAGTCTCAAAGAAAGTGTCCCAAACGTATTTGTTACTAATTGTGACACAACAAAATCAATGTTCGTGACTAATTGTGATACGCCGAAAAGGATGAACAAAAATTTGCAACCACTCATGTTACGACATCTGGCAAAGTCGTCACTGTTTATGGTTCAAAGTTTCACAATTAGTGACGAATATGTATCACGATTAGCCACGAACATTGTTTTCGGCGTATCACAATTAGTCACGAACATTCTGTTCGGAGTGTCACAATTAGTCACAAATACGATTGGGACACTTTCTTTGAGACAGTGTCCACAGCGGAATGTACCCTTATTCCCCACTCCACTCCCTCTCCCACCCACCTGGCCCCTCCCCTGCTCTTCCGTGCACAGGTATGGTGGATCGCGCACAGGGATAGTGGTCGGTGGAGTAAGACGTGGACAAGCACAAGGTGAAGGCAGGATGGGGCCGTGGCAAAAAATGGAGATGGGTAGAGCCAGCAGGATGCCGCGGCGCGTAGATGCGGTACGAGGCACGCAGTCTAGCAGGAGTGCTGGCCTCATCTGGCTGTAGGGAGCAACTTGTTGGTTGTGCTTTGTTGTGCGCTGAAGGTGTCTAGGAATGTGGGAGATGTCGCCCTAGATACCTGTAGCCGATAGGTGGAGGCAGGGAAGGGGATATGGGGAAGCAGGGAAGGGGATGGGTGGAAGCAGGGAAGGGGATGGGGGGAAGCAGGGAAGGGGATGGGTGGAAGCAGGGAAGCGGATGGGGGGAAGCAGGGAAGGGGATGGGAGGAAGCAGATAAGGGGATGTGGGGAAGCAGGGAAGGGTGACAAGTGCGCGCGATAGGAAGGGAGACGGGAGGGATGGCGAGGGCGACGGGGAGAGAGGAAGACGGGGATTGCAAGGGGACGAGCGAGAGGAAGGGCGACGAGACGAAGGGAAGGCTACGGGCGGAAGGGAGAGCGGCGTGCGGAAGGGAGAGCGATGGGCGGAAGGGGGGGCAACACGCGGAAGGGAGAGCGACGGGCGGAAGGGAGAGCGACGGGCGGAAGGGTGGGCGACGCGCGACGGGCGGAAGGGAGGGCGACGAGCGGAAGGGAGGGTGACGGGAGCGACGATCGGATTGGAGGGCGACGCGTGGAAAGGTAGAGCGACGAGCGGATGGGAGGGCGATAGGCGAAAGGTAGAGCGACGAGCATGGCGACGCGCGGAAAAGAGGGCGATGAGCGGAAGGGAGGGCGGCGAATGGAAGGGAGCGACGGTTGGAAGCGTGGGCGACGAACAGAACGGAGCGCGATCGTGGACGACGCGACGAAACGAGTAGCGGGAGCCAAAGAACCGAAAGCGTCGCGGGCAAGCGAGGGTGAATGGGGGAACCTAAGCGACCAGCAACCTAGCTCTGGCCCTGTGGAATATAGTTGGAGCATCGTGTTCATGAGTTGTGTGAAAAAACGGAGTGATTTTTTGGCGTGAATGACGGGTGAACTATGTCTAGTATGCTTGACAATTAGTACAAGATGGTTTTCAAGTTCGCTTCAAGTGAATGACCCTCTGCTCGATAAGACTTTGAGTGTCGCTCGCCAATCACATATCACTATCGTGAGAGAATGCTCCACTTCGGGTGGTAACATGGTTTTTGGCGAGTTCATATTCAGGAATCTTGAACTTGAAAATAGCCATGTGGAACTCGGGCTTTAAATTCGTTATTTCGCGGGAGTACACACGGCTGCCCGAATTTCGGAGGGGAAGGGCGGGAAAATCGGGTGGGGGGGCCCAGGGGCACACGCGGTCCATCCAATTATGAAAAACGCCCACGTGGCGAAGTCGGAGCAATTTAGATCGATTCAATTGAGAGAAACGCGATTTCCGCCGATGCGCGCGATTTCGCCATTTTTAGGGCGCAGGAACTCTAAACCATACCACCCAGGGCGATCAATCTGCATCCTCCGCAGCAAAATCGTGTCATCCGCAGCGGGTGCGAGTCACCGTTTCCCCAGTCCTTATGGAATCCGCCTCGCGCAACTACTTCGCCGCGCTCTCGTCGCCCCACGCGGATGACGGCGACTGCACCCCGCCGCTCTCGCCGCCTCGGGAACCTGCTGCGAGCAGTCGCGATGTCGACGCGCCAGTCAGCGCCGGGTCGCCTCCCGCCGGGCCTCGCAGCGTCGAGCCGGCCGTTCTCGCCGGCGGCCCGTCAGCCCAGGCGACGGGGCATGGCGGCGGGGAACGCAGCAAGGACGGCGGGGACGTGCTTCAAGACGACGACAGCGATTGGCGGGTGGTGGGCGACACGAGTGGCGCAAGGAGCGCGGGGGGTGGTGCGGCGACACCACCGGAGGTGGCAGCCGTGGCGGCGAGCGAGGCGCGGGCGGCGCAGGCGGTGGAGGTGAAGCTGCGGCGGCCGCTGATATGGGTGGACCTGGAGATGACCGGTGAGCGCATGGCGGCCAGCAACGGGTGGGGCATGGCGAGAGGCGTGGCAAGGGGAGTGCAGCAGCGCGCGTTGGGATGGGAGGGCAGATTCACACGATAGCATGATGCGATGGGCTTCTTGCCCGCCCTCGCCCCTCGCCCCTCGCCCCTCGCCCCTCGCCCCTCGCCCCTCGCCCCTCGCCCCTCGCCCCTCGCCCTTCGCCCCTCGCCCCTCGCCCCTCGCCCCTCGCCCCTCGCCCCTCGTCTCTCTGCGTCACGCGCCTCTGTCCTTCCGTCCCCACCTTCTCCCGCACTCCTTGTGCCGTGCCGTGCCGTGCCCTGCCACCAGGCCTGGACGTGCAGCGCGATCACATACTGGAGATCGCGTGCGTGGTCACGGACGGGGACCTCAAGCAGCGCTTCCAGGTCAGTCACCACCGCACGCACGTGGGCTCTGTCCTTTCGCCCCTCCAATTCCCTCGCTACCGCTCATTGCTCCTCTACATCCCCCTGTTTCTCCCTCCTTCCTCTCCGCTCCCTTGCCGTGCGCCTGTCTATCCGCACGTCCTCGCATGTGTGGCATGGCATGGCATGGCAGGGGCCGGACCTGGCAGTGCACCAGAGCGAGCAGGTGCTGGCAGGCATGAACGAGTGGTGCCAGCAGCACCACCACGCCAGTGGTGAGCACGGAGAGGGGAGGTGAGAGGGGGGGGAAGAGGAGGGGTGTACTATGTGCGTGGATTAGATTGGATTGGGTTGGATTGGATTGGGCGTGGTTATGAGCTTGAACTGGGTGGGCTGCGTCACACTGGGTGGGCTTGGATGGTGTGCCGTATTGCCACGTGGGTGGGAGGAGCTGGCAGTTGGGCTTTCGTGCACCGCACCATCCAGGCTCTTCAGCATGGCTCCTCCCGCATGAACCACTGGGCCTTCTGCTCCCTGCCTGAATACCTGCACGTGCCCACCACATATGCTGCCATGTCTCTGTGGTTTGTCCATGCGTGAGGGACGGGTGAAAGTCGGGACCTTGTGCGCCTCCTGTGAAAGTCATCACAAGTTTTATCTCTTGCACCTCGCCCGTCAGTGGGACCAACCATCCTTGCACGAGTCCAACATCCACACACACTTAGCATGTCAAGTTGTCTTGCGTCTGCAGCGGTCGACTCTCGGCCTCCAGTTGCTAGTGAGAATGCTGCCGTCAAGACATGCACGCAGCACACATGAGAACGTGCTTACAGTCATAGTTGCAGTGGTGATCTGGGTGGCTTTGCTGCTTGCAAGTCGCACATCGGTACTGTAATTTGCACTGGTGTGAGTGCTCAGTGCCGCTCACCCCCGGTGTGTGAGTGGCAGGGCTGGTGGAGCGAGTGCGCAGCAGCACAGTCACCTTGGCAGACGCGGAGCAGAAGGTGAGCCCTGTGCCGCCCGCCATGCACCCTTGCACTGCTACGTGCTGTTTCTACCGTGGAACGCAGCACCACCATGAGCAGAGCTGGGGTAGTATGTAACACTCCTCCTGTGCTAACTTCTGCAGCCATTCGGTCTGCTTCTTGTTGACTCTCGCTTCTCCCTTTCGTCTACCCTCATGGCCCCACCACTTCCTGTGCGCTGTCCCCTGTGCGCTGTCCCCAGGTGCTGGCGTTTGTGAGGCGCTACTCTAAGGAAGGGCTTGCCTCGCTGGCAGGCAACTCCATCTACGTGGACCTCATGTTCCTGCAGGTGACAGGCATGCAGGTGACATGCATGCAGGTGACATGCATGCAGGTGACATGCATGCAGGTGACATGCATGCAGGTGACATGCATGCAGGTGACATGCATGCAGGTGGCATGCATGCAGGTGACATGCATGCAGGTGACATGCATGCAGGTGACATGCATGCAGGTGACATGCATGCAGGTGACATGCATGCAGGTGACATGCATGCAGGTGACATGCATGCAGGTGACATGCATGCAGGTGACATGCATGCAGGTGACATGCATGCAGGTGACAGGCATGCAGGTGACATGCATGCAGGTGACATGCATGCAGGTGATGAGTGATAGTTCGTAGCATGCTTGTGCTGCATCCCAGCATGTGAGGTGTTCAACCTGGTTCGCTGCCACTGTGCTTGTGCTGACCTCATTCTCCACGCACTGACCCTGCTCTCTTCTCACCAGCACCACCCGTGTGTGCCCCACCACCCCTGTGCGTGGTGCACCACGCACAGAAGCACATGCCTCGCCTGGCAGCGCATTTCTCACACGTGCTCGTGGACGTCAGCTCCATCAGAGCCCTCGCACAGCGCTGGTACCCCAGAGGTACTCCTCTCCCTCTGCTCCAACCACTGCTGCCCTCCTCTTTACACACTTGCACACTTGAAGCTGAGGGCCCTGCAGCGCACGCCACTGGTGCCATGCTTCCAGCCCAGCATGTGTTTCCGCACTGCCCCCCTTGTGTTGCTAACTTGCATGTGTGGGCATGGCAGCGGCGGAGAGTGCACCGCGCAAGGAGCAGCGGCACCGAGCACTGGAGGACATCAATGAGACCATCAACGAGCTCAAGCACTTTAGAGCCACCATCTTTAAACAGCCCCCCCGCACCTCCAAGCATGCTTGACAGCGCCTGCTTGCCTGTGCCACAGTAACCAATAATGCAGATTTGTCATTTTCCCAAGTTCAAATACGTGGCAAATATGTTTCCATGTACCATGGTCTCCTAACTGAGAGAACACGCTAAAACACGGAACTTGTACCGTATGTACTGATTCCTAAGGCTCGAGCCAACAGCTGGGGCCTTGTGTCTCTTACCGTCGTAAACGCCCGGATATAAGATAGTGGCGAATTGAAGACAGGGGGTGTCTTTGATTGAGGTTTTTCTTGTAATTGGGTGTCTCCGATTATAAGATACCTTTGTATGTGTACGACGAGTTAAAACATATTTGTCTTATAATCGAAACTGTAATGTACTACACTGAACATTGAAATAGAGCACACAGTTTTACCCTTATGAAACGCAGACTCGGTGGGTAAGATGCTGCGAGTAGGGAGGGAAGTTGCCAGCACAGACAGCTTTGCTGCGTCCCTCCTCGTGGCACGTGGTGGCGACGTATGCATTACCTCCCCGTGACACCTTCACGTTTCGGGTCTGGGGCTTGTTTGCCCATGTTCGCGCCACTGCAGACAAGCTCTCTTCTCACATCGTTCGCTGCGTCTTCCTTGGCTTTCCGACTGACGCACCTGGGTGGCAATTTTACCATCCAGTGCCCTGTCTGTCAGAATCCCCAACCACTAGACCATTGGGATAAAAGGGGTTTTTTTAGTAGCGGGTCAGTGCGCCCATAACCCCCCAGGCTAACATGTCTGTAACCCTCCAAGGATCAATCGAGCATCCATAGTGCAGATCTACTAACACTGTCCTCCCAGGTTGTCACGACTTGCTTTCTTGCATGTAGCAATTGGCATCGCCTCATTTCAAAGGGCATCGCTTCGTTTCAAATAGGTTTAGTACAATTGAAATCTATAGTGACATTACAATAATGTAAAATTTTGAAAGTGTGTAACACTTCTAAAAAATCGTGTATTGTAAAAGTGTAGCGATTGCCAACGCAACAAAGGCAGCGTCGCATCGCTACTCGACCTCTTTTGGCCACAAAAGAGGGGGTTGAGGCCATTTGGCCTCACCCACGTTCTTCTTTTCAATTTCGAAGTTTGAGTTTCCAATCTCGACTAGTTTGGCGAAGACGCAGTCCCTCCCTCGCTTCACTGCCCCGACGACTCTACTTGCGGATATTTTTAAGCATTACATCGGAGCCATGGCGCCGGCGAACAACACTGCTAATCGCGAGGGCAACATGGCGTCAGACACTCCCGTCGCCCCGAATGCGAACATTCTGCCCGGGACAACCGCCCGTCGCCGAGGAGTCACGCGAGGACCTCGCCATTGGCGTCTAGGTCCTGCTGGGCGGAGGCTCCCCGGCGCCTTCCAAGGAGCCTTCCGCCCCTCGCGCGGCTTCCAGGCAGCCGCGCGAAGTGGCGAAAAAGACAACCGCTGATGCTGCTGTCTTGACCACCACCTCGAGCCCCTCAGGCACGCGTGTCAAGAAGCACGTGCCAGCACCCTCGAGCCACACGCCAGCCACGACCGACCCCAACCCTTTGTTTAACCCGGCGCAGCTGCAAGCACTACTGGCGCTGTTACAGTAGCACGCGCCTGTTACGGCGGGGACTTCAAAAAATGAGGACGCTACAACTTGTGCAAAATATGATAAGAAGAAAGAAGGAGCTCCTGCCGTCGCACCACGCCCTCCGAAGACTGCCCGCATCGAGAAGGACCCGGCCCCCACTCCCATCGAAGATGACAACGACAAGTCAGACGACGCTGATGGTGAGGCCTCCCCTTGCCGTCACAACCCATTTTTTACTCACGCTTCTTGCTCTACGCTTCCCCCCCTCAACCCCGCAACCACAATTCCCATGTTCAACCGAAGGGTGTACGCGACCAGGCAGAGGTCTTCTCTGCTATCCAGGCCCACCTCAGGCACATCAAGTTCAAGCTCCAGCAAGGCGATGCGGAAGGCGCTCGCACCAACATTTCTCAAATCGTGTCGCTCATTAACAAGGGATTTGAGGTGCTCTTGGTGGCAGACGAGGCAGGCTTTGAGGCGGCCGATCGCTTCCAGCTCTACCAGTCCAAGAGCGTGTTGACCTCCCGTTCGTACAAGCTGGCCGTGGCTGACGTGGCCGCGTCGAAGCGCGCTCGCATGACCTACAACCGTCCCACCCGCGGGAATGGCTTCAAAGCCGGCGAACTCGGCAACAATGGCTCTGGGCAAGGCTCTTGCCAGGAAAGGACTTTCAAGGGTACCTATTTTCGCTACCGCCAGCCCGGCCACATAGCGAATGCCTGCCCCATTGGGGGGCGTGGAGGCCAAGGCCCCACACCCGTGGTGTGAGGGACCAAAGGGCAGAGCCCTTTCCCCTTATGTCAAAGAGACATAACGGGGCTGCACCAGGGGGTGCAAGGCTGAGGAGCACCCTAAGGAACTAAGGGCCAGGGGGCCCAAGGAGGAGCCCTAGGGGCCATTAGCTATTGGTGCATTTGTGTACTTTTGCAAGAAATGGTTATTATGTGATGATAAGTTGCCTATGGAAGTGTTTGTTGGTTTACTTCAATTTGGTACCTTAGGCTCAAGGATGGACTGCACTATGATGCGGGCAACCAACACACAACCAGTGCAAAGCAAAGCAGAAGAAGAAGAAGAAGAAAAAGAAGAAGAAGAAGAAGAAGAAGAAGAAGAAGAAGAAGAAGAAGAAGAAGAAGAAGAAGAAGAAGAAGAAGAAGAAGAAGAAGAAGAAGAAGAAGAATTGACAACCGTTGGATCGGGACGACGCTCTCTAACGCACGAATACAGGATAAACGACAAGATAGTGTTTATTATGCGAGGACAGCTCCACCAAACACTACACTGGTGGCGCTCCTGGTGCGATAGTAGCCTCATCCTGTCTATTATCTCACACGGATATTGGCTCCCATGGAAGGATGGGCCCCCGGCATCTTTCAAAAGGAAAAACCATGCAGGCACCCAGACACATTCGGATTTCACACGCGATGCCATTCAGGACCTCCTGCGAACAGGAGTAGCGGCAAAAGCTCCTGACCGATCAACACTACTATGCATTAGCCCACTCAATGTGGTCGAACAGCGAGAAAAATGTCGACTCATCCTCGACCTGCGGAAGGTCAACGAGCAATTGTGCATCCCTAAATTCAAGTACGAAGGCCTCGCCCGGGTAGCGGCGTTGATCCAGCCGAACGACTGGATGCTATCGGTTGATCTCATGTCAGGGTATCATCACGTGGACGTCCATCCCACCTGCTGGAAGTACTTAGGATTCGAGTTCGAAGTCAACTACTACTTCTTCCAATCCCTGCCATTCGGTCTGGCCACGGCCCCTTTCATCTTCACGCAGCTCATCAAACAGCTGGCCCGACGATGGTGATCTCTCGGGTGTTGGGTTATCCCGTATGTGGATGATATACTGATCCTGTCAGAGACCGCACAACAAGCGGGAGCCGCATGCGCACAGACCGTAAGGGACCTGAGGGACGCCGACATTGTAATCAGCGAGAAATAGTCGCGTCTGGTCCCCAGAAAGGAGCTTCGCTTCCTCGGACTCGAGTTGAACATACAAGTCGGCAAATTCTCGGTCGGAGAAGAACGGCGCTCCCTGTTACGAGCTACAATCACAAGTCTCATCGATTCCGGACGCACTGGTCACCACGTGAACGTTCGTCAAATCGCTCGAGTGACTGGAATGCTTGCTTCCATGAGCCTCACTTTGGGCGCAACCGCACGAGCCTTCAGTCACGAGCTATTCCAACTTATCAACAACGTGCCCTCATGGCACTCGAAGGTGTCGTTGTCAACAGAGGCCATCCATGAACTGTGTTTCTAGGTGGAACAGTTCGACCCTTTCAACGGTGCACCATTCCACCATGCGCATCACTACGACGCCATCATCCAGGTGGATGCCAGCGCGCACAGCTGGGGTGCCACCCTCTCTACTTTTCACTGAACACCGAGCAACGCAAGCGCCGGCATGCCCGACAATCTGTGGCCAACCTCAAGTACGCGACGCGAGTTGGGAGGCGTGCTCTGGGTGCTACGCACCTTCATGGATTGTCTTCAACACGGCCACATGTTGGTTCGCGTGGACAACCAAAGGGTCATGTTCATCCTACGAAAAGGAGGCTCGCGCAATAATGAGCTCACGCTCACTTGCAAAGAGATCATTACTCTATGCACGGACAACGCGGTGCGACTAGCCATCGAATGGATTCCCAGAGATCAGAACACTTGCGCGGACGAGCTCTCAAAGCTGCAAGACCACGGTGACTACACGTTGAAACAACCTTGGTTTCGTCTCTTGGACCGTCGGTGGGGGCCTCACTCTGTCGACTTGTTCGCCAATGCACAGAACGCATTGCTGCCTCGTTTCTTCTCTAAAGTCCCTCATCCGCGAGCCCAGGCCATCAACGCATTCTCCAAGGATTGGCACGGGGAACGGGGCTTCGCATTCCCGCCCCCCCACCTCGTCCCTGCAACTCTCCATCACGCGCGTCGCACACGGGCAAAGCTAACCCTGGTGATCCCTGAGTGGCCAGGGGCAGCCTGGTGGCCCTTAGTGCAACCAGCTCCTCAAACATGGGCCATAGGAATCACTAGCCACCTTCGCCTTGCAAGCGGGAGTCAGTACCTCCAACCGGGCACACACACTGCCGCATTCTCAGGCACTGGATTTCCCAATAGTACGATTATCGCATTGTCCATTGACTATACAATGTAACTCATATATATATATTCCATGTATGGCAGAGATATTATCCAACCTTCAAAAGCAACTCCCCTTGGTAATCAGCCAAGTACGAGCTCCTTCAACAATCCGCACCTACGACCCCTACTGGAGAAAATTCCGATCATTCTGTAACAGGCTGTCACTGGGCTATCTACCCACCACAGATTTGACACTCGCGCTGTACCTGGTATACGCCCTCAACAAGCACGCCACCTTGTCCGCCATTACGCTGACCTGTTCGACAGTTGCATTTGCACATAA